TGACGGTTGCTGGTCGTGGTTGTGGTTGGCCTGTCGGTTTGGTCTGCTGCGGCTCCTGCTGCGCTGCCTCAGTTCTCTTTGCATCAACTCGGTTCTGTCGTCGTCACTTGGCCAGGAGTGTTCCGAGTCGTCTCCTGTGTTTGGTGGTGGGCCGATGCTTGGTGGTGGTGCTTTTGACGTGGCGTGTTGTCGCTGTGGCGGTTGCTGCGGCCTCTCTGTCTTCCTCTCTTTTTTTACCTGCTCTTGCTTCCTCTCTCTCGATTCCTTTCTCTTTCTTTCTTTCTGCTGGGCGTAGGGGTCCCGAGAGACCCTCAGGCTTTCAGCCCGCCCACCCCCCCCACTGTGTTAGTGAGTGGTTGGCATTGGGGCCATTCCAGACTACGGCAGGGGACTACAAAATATGCTCCAGGTTGTCGTGCAGCAATCCCCGCTTAGAACTCTAAAACCCCCGCGTCCCGGCCTCATCACCGCGCCCCTATGGCTAGCCAACCCATGTACCTAAGTGTTCCAAAGCAAGGCTCGCTGCATTGTGGTTGGAGCTTTCACAAAAGAAAATGGAAAAAGCCGGTCGGGTTCTCCCCCTTGTCAGGTTTTCCAGAAACAGACCCCCACAAACAAGATACGCAAGTCACAGTACTCGACAAAGGGAGTTTTGTTGAATTAGAAACCCCTCCTGCAGCGGAGCAGGCGGGCCGAATTTGCGGCAAAACGGCGGAACTGTCTTCGTCTTTCGACGGCGGTGCATGAATTGTGTCAGGCGGAACGAAGCCGTCGTGTAGCGACGGGTGTGGTTGAAAGCAAAAAGCTAAGCAGTATATGTCACATATGGTACAGAACAACGTGCATCCCCCCGGCAAGGGCAAGGGCAACTAGTTGGGTCCCCCAATAAGCAGTTGCAATGTGAGGACAATATTGGTCACGGTGGATAGGGGAGGGCAGCAAGCAAGAAGACCTCCTACAAACACCAAAACAAGCCCGAACAGCCCTCCACAGTCCCCCGCAACGGCCGTCTCAGAAAAACTTTTTGCCACGCTCACTCTGCATCAGTGCTTCAGCGTCCCCCTCTTTTGCGCGACATGTGCTGTTGTACTTCTTGCACCTGGTGCCGTAGGCTTGGGATCAGGGCGACGGCTGGTCTCCCCCCTGTCCTTGGAGGCTCCCTTGTTGGAGTCTGTGGCTTCCTTCGCTTGGCCTGCGACTCCCCTTCTGCTCCTCGTGCTCCTTGTCGGACTGGTCGGAGTCGCTGTGGTGGCTCCCCTGTCGGTTCGGAGGGACGTCTGGGGTTCGTCTCCCGATCCGACGGTCTGCCTTTGGCTCCCCACGGCCACTGTACGTCACCACTTGTGGCTGCCTCCGCGGTGTCGTCGTCATCGTCTGTGGTCCCCCCCCAATCGGGCGGAGTCTCTTCAGCTCTCACTGGTGAGGGTGGCGCGGTAGGTCCCATATTCCCCCGTGCAAGCACTGGTGTCCCACGGCCTGCCTGTGCTCGTTCTCCTCCCCCTCGCTTGGTTTGCTGGGCCTTCTGCATTTTCTTCTTCTTCAGCTTGCGAGCATCGTGAAGAAGTTTCGGTATGTGGTGCGGGAAGCGCATGGCGAAAGCGCGGGCTTCATTGGCTATCTTGGGTAGCAGCCGGTCCGTTATCTTCACGAGCTTGTCTGCAGCCGCTCCGAGAGCTCGGCGGTGGAGGAGTCGTCCCCTATAGGCGGAGTAGGTCTCTTGGTCATTCTCCCCCAAAGCTTCTCCCCTTTCGTTCTGGAGTTCGCCTGTGTCCTCGTCTTGTTGCACTGCTCGTCCGATCCACACGTCGAGCGGGCTTGGGTGGAACAGCAAGTGAAGCCCTCCCTTTGTCTCATGCTGAACCATTCCCCCCAGTCCTCGTGCTTGCCTGGATGAGGAGCTGGCTTCTCCCCCGTCTTGTCTGGTTGAGGAGCTGGCTTCTCCCCCATCTTGGCTCTGTCGTCTCTCCCTTGGTTCCTCCTTGGGCTTGCGGGATGCCATTGCCACGTTGGCTCTGGTGGTAACGCCGTGCAAACGGCATGCCGGATCACTTCTCACATGTACTTTTTTCATCCCCGGCCTGCAGATTCCGCCGGCTTCACGGCATAGTCTGCATTGCATCTCCCCCACCAGGACGATCGCTTCCAGTTCCGGTGTGAAGTAGTATGGCGGTCCCCCCCTACTGACGGGCCACCTCCCGAAGGAGGGCCGTGGTCAGGGGGTCCCGTAATGCGCAAACCCTTCGGGCCTCTTAAACAAAATGAGCTGCGGCGTAAGACTCAAGCACCGCTGGGGTTAACGATCCGGCTCCCCCGAGGGCACAACCTCAGGTTAACCTTCACGCCCCCCCCCCGATGCCAAGAGGCGGCACAGGCCTCTCAGCAAAGGTGCAGCACTCTTTCTCTCTCTTCGTCTCTCTCTTGCTCGACATTTGGGGTCGAGGGGAGGACCCCTCCAACCCTGTGTGCTAGCGCTACGCCGAGTGTCCAAGTTCGGTCTGTGTGTGAAACGTTCTGGGAGTTTGCGAGAATCCCGGGGCAGACCCCGGACCCCGTCTCATCCACCAAAGCATCCCTAATTAGGGGACTTTGAGCCGATTGCCCAACGAGACGTCACCGGGCTAGACGACCCAAGCAGCAAGGCGGGCACGGCAGCAAGAGAGGAAGCTGCAGCACAACCTCCAGGGGGCAACGCACCACATATCACCACATGAAGTACCGGCGCGGCCAGAGCAAGCAAGACAGCCGCCACGGCAGTGGCCCAACAGCAGCCACGATCCAGGAGAACCCAGCACGAACTCAACCCACAGAAAACGAAGCCACCACGGCCGGAGACCCAGGCGAAACAGGGTCTCCATCCACGCGCGGCCACACCGAGCCCACCTGACATGGCTTGACCAAGCAACGCCGCCGACACTACCGCCAGGGCTCCCACTGGGGCGCAACAACAGACTGCTGGCGCTGTACAGCCACAACATGACAACATGCCACAACGGCCGATGGGACCTCAGGGTCAGTCTGGCCGGGCCACGAGGGGGAGGCCGACCGTAGGTGGCAAGAGGGATCTATCCGGAGATCTTGTACACGGTGCGACACGACTTGTACCTGCCACAAAATGCCACAAAGGCACAGACATGCAGGCCACCCCACTCGGGGACGCAACAACGGCCCCGGGCTGACAACCTCCATGATCCCACATGCCTGGCTCATCACCGTGACCGAAGGCACAAGCAGAGCGCCGGGGATCCGCCCAGAGCAACACAAACATAGACGTGCGAAAAGGGGACTCGTTCATTGTGGTCCGGACCTGCAGTTCAGCCCAGAGAGCGCCTTGTACTCACCACCGGACAACGCCCAAGCCAAGACAAGACCCCCATTGCCACCCGCAGCCACATCCGGAGACGAGTCGTAGCAGAGCTTAGTGTTGAAAGGATCTTCAGCAAGAAACAAGCTGTGGCAGCGCCCCTGGACCAGATCCCTCCACAGCAGCGGGGCGCCGGAGGGGGGGGGGGGGGGGGGGGGGGGGGGGGGGGGGGGGGGGGGGGGGGGGGGGGTGAAATTAGGGGTGCGATTTTTATTGGCGGGTCGCCGGATCTCGGCATTGCCTGGTTTCATCGGCTCCAGGAGAAGCCCGGTTTCCCGCACTCCAATTCCCCGCCATTTCTGTTGCTTTTTCCAGCACATTGGGTCCGAGGATGTCCGAGGTCGACGCGATCGTGACGAGACCGACGTGCCGTTCGTGCTGGTTTTTACAGCACATCCTGGCCCGAGGTGCCCAGGTTCAGTGTTTTCTGCGACACGGGGGTGTTTGCAGCGATTTGTACAGCATTTCCTACACTTGCGGTGCCCTCGACAGGCCGTTTGTGCTGGTTTTTACAGCACATCCTAAACCTTTGACACAAACGCGCGTCTTCTGCGACATGCCGTTGGTACAGTACTGTTTTTTCGGCACATCCTGCACTTAAAGTGCCGAAAACGGCCGTTGTTTTCGTGCATACCCGGAGGGGGGCCTGAGAGGGAAAATGGGGGGTGATTTTTGCGGCTCCCGGTCGGCTCCGCGGACAACCCACCTCCCCCCCCCCCCCCCCCACAGAAAACATCGGCCACGCCGGTGTTTCGGCACTCGGGGCCAGGATGAGCCGTAAAAAACCGAAAGAAACGGCACGTCGCAGAAAACATCGGCCCTGCCGAGGCTTTCGGCACTTCGAGTACAGACCAGCACAAACGGCGCGCCCGGCTCGTCGCGTTTGCGAAGACCGACAAGCTGCTGTAATGGTTTTTCCAGCACATTGGCTCCGGCGTCGACGTGAAGGCAGCAAGATGCACGTGCCCTTTGTGCTGGTTGTACAGCACATCCTGGCCCGAGGTGCCGAAAGTGCCGCCCGGCGTGGCCAATGTTTTCTGCGCATGTCGTTCGTGCTTCTTGCGGCACATCCTTGAGGCACATCCTGGACCTTTGACGTCAAGACGCCAGGACCGGCATGCCGTTTGTACAGGTTTTTACGGCACATCCTGGCCCTTGACGTGCGTGCGGGTGGGGGGCGGGCCCCGCCCCTGCGCTGCCCTTCCTTGTGCTGCCCTGCCCTGCCTGCCCTGCCCTACCCTGCCCGGAAAAGACACCCAAGCAACAACAAGAGATCACTAACCCATGAACCACCACTGAAAACACCGGCTTCATCTCTACAAATTGTTTTCCCATGACCGTTGCGGAGCCGCTCCTGATCTCTCCTGCTGTTGAATGGCAAGTCGTCGACTACTTTGTGCTTGCGGTTGCTTATGTTGCTTGGCGTTTGAGCTCAATACAGCATTATCCCGACGTGTGCCATCTACCGCTTCGCATCAACTACCAGACCTTGATGGTTCTGAGCCACGTCGGGCCTTGTTCCTGCTGGATGGACTTATGCACGCGTGAAGGAAGAGGGCAGTCCCACCACGCAGTTACTAGGGAAGTGGAGACTCACCTGGACCTTCCCTTCCGACAGTTCAAGCCTCCCCGCACTCCATCAAAGACCGTGTCGCAACTGCGACAAACTCCGAGACCTGCCTTCACAGTCTTCCGTCCAGCTGTCGGCGGCGGCTTGATCTCCCCCCTGCTCAGACTAGGTCCACGCTACGTGCAACATTACAGTACACGGTCGACGCACAGAAACTGCTAACATTCGCAATTTCTGGACAACCAGGTGCCGACCAACGAACTCCTTCCACTACGACTATTCTTCTCTGCTAGGTTGATGCAGTGTCTCTGAAAGCTGACTCATGCAAAGGGTGAGGTACAAGCCAGCTCATCCAGCTACCTCGCGGCAGCAACTTATCTTTCACAGTTGGCCTTCATCACCTGTGCGTCTGCATGAAGCTGCATTGTGAACTGAACACGCTCGGGGAGAATCTCCTTCGGCAAAGCGGCTACAGCTTTCCCGCTGACGTAAGGTGGACTTGCCGAAGTTCGGTTCAACACTCGGTATCAACGGCTGAGCAGTGTCAAGACAATTAAGTCATAACTAGGTGTTCCTCATCACGGGGCTGTGAGTAGAGCCATTTCTCACGCAGAGGGCCGCCCAAAGCCACCAGCAAACCTGCCGAAGTGGGCCGTGATTATGAAACTGATGGACAAGCACATGACGTTGATGCAACGCATGCTTGCACCATAGCAACGTAACATTCTGGCTCAGCTCCAGGCCTTCTTCGAGCGGAATGTTGACCGAAGCAACTTCGCGTCGGCCGCGACCATAATACCAGGGAATGCCATGGATGTGGTACCTGATCTTCATGATGGGCACATTGTGCAAGCTGCTGCATTTGGACACTTTTATTTCATTGGGCCGGGCCAGCGAGAGAACGCACCAGCAACCGCTTTTTGAAACATGGTCGCTCGAATCACTGCTCTTTATGGGGCATGCAGGCTCCCCACTGACAAGTACTTTGCGCATCTGCAGCCTTAGGCCTTAGGGATTCGACCAAGCGTCACTCGGGTCGCGCCAACCGCCATGAGGGCAATGACACAGTCACTTCCCCATCCGCAGTGTGTGGCATAGGTGTGAGGCCCATCTTTCAGGTGGACACCTGCATGCATCTTTGTACCGTGGCACTAATCCTGTTTCCGTCTGCTTCTTATGAGTCTTCCGGCATCTGCCGGCTGGGAGGAGTCGCAAAGTTGAGCAGTGCTTTCGGGGGTATCTTCTGTTCAGGGACGCTTTCAGCTGCTGCAGAATCTTGATTGCAAATCAACAGCATGACAGTATCCTGGTTCCGCCACGGTTTCGACCCTCGCCGCAGTCAAGGCAGGCAAGGATCCAGCTCAAGTTCCACTTGGGCTAGCACATAGTAGTTCGTATACCACGAAATAGATCTCGCAGAATGCGGCTACACAGGATGGGACAAGTCAACAAAACCTTTGTGCATCGGAAGTCTTTGGGGGTTTCCTTGCTCTGTCGAGATCGCCCCCTTTCTTGACAAGCAAGCAGAGCTTGATGAGAAGCTGTCGACTCAAACAATTTGCAAACGGGCTACAGCGCGGCAATCATCATCCTCATTGACCTCTGACATTTCCGAGCCCTTTGCCTGGAGGCTCCCAGCGGCACATCATGCCATTCAACGGGGAGCAGATTGCTTCAGCGGCACGCTGAAGGATCTCCTCAGGGGTCCGCATGTGCAAATGTCGGTGCTCCTCTTTTGCATTCATACCGCCAATTACCCGGCAGCAGCATCGACTGTGCCATGTGTCTGCGTGTGTCAGCGTCTGACCGTATCTGCTCTACCGTTGCCCCCTGCAGAACAAAGTTGCAGCCGAAGTATGTCCTCGACTTTGCCCGCGACTTTTTGTCCAACGTGTAGGCGAGGCGGAGCTACCTCGGAGCGGCTGTCTGTTCGGTTTCCATGCCCTGCTTCATCCAAGCACATGGACGGCAAACCACTTGTGATTATCCGCACTGCAGTCCAAAACTTCGGGAACATCTGGCTGCCGTTCTCAGCATCTTAAAGTTTGAATGACACCATTTTGCAATGCATCCGGAGCACGCGGCGTGTGTCACGATAGTCATAGCCGTTGCAGATCCACGCCTCCTTGTGCCGCTCATTGAAGTGCGTAAAGCTTCCATCCTCGGACATCTTGAGCGCATGGCGTGCAAGCGTATCGCATCCAGACGGCGTTGACTGTCAAGCTCATGTCCGAACGCTGTACCGCTGTGCACCCAAGACGCCGGATTCCGCACCTCAAGCATTGATGGCAGCTTTAGTAACGTACTCAGGTCCGGGATGAACATTCCACAGCATCGCTCTCGCAAGTTCTTACTCGTGAATTTGCACAACGGCCGGCTGTGGACAGATCCTATCAGATCATGATAACAGCGACCAAAGCAAGATTAAGACCCATGCACAGGCAAGCTCAAAAAACTTCTGGGCTCGTCACCTGCCGTCTAGGCTGCTCGTAGTTCCTGAGACTGTGGAAATCCAGTGCTTCTGCCGTGATCCTGCACATTCTACAGTTTGTTGAGCTGAAGGTTCCCCGTCGGCCGTCTCACTATCGGGACCCTATAGTGCCCGTAGAGCCAGCTTTACAGGTGGTATTCGAGACGAGTCCCAAACGATGAGCTGCCGAAATACAGCGAAAGCGAGTCACTCAGAAAAGCCACCGTGGCGTCTTCTTCAAGGCGAGCTTGTGCTCAATGAACTATATGCTCAATGCAACCTAACAATGCCCCCCTTGCAAGTTGCACCAAGAATCTTAAAGCGTTTAAAGTTTGCCCCAGTGGCAAGGCTCCGGGCAAGGTCGCCTGCTGCAAAGAAAAAATCTCCGACTTTGAAAGGAACCCGGGGATCGCCTCAGTTTGCAAAGGCCGCAGGGTTGGGCTGGTTTGTTCGTATCTCCTCGCTTTAGTTTAATTGGGTCGCAGCAGGTTTCAGGGCTGGGGGATCCTAAGGAAACGCTGCAGCACTCGGTCCTGCATCAAATCAACCGAGCTGCGACCAGGGAGGTGTCCTTAGAATCCAGACTGTGAGGAGCGTCTGCAGATCATGTCAAGCCGCCATCATGCATCAGCACATGCCAGATCCTCGATGGCACGGCTGCTGTTTCTGTCACTGCTAGAGCGGCTGTGGAGAACTGCCGAATGAAGGAATCGTTCGAGACTGTCGGGGCCTTAACCATCCAAGAAAAGACCTCGCCAGGAGCCTGCTACCAAAAGACCCGGGGTCTCTCCAAGCGGCGAAAGGCAGAGCGATCACCAGTGCCTGCTCGCCAGGGGCCGGAAAGTGTCCTGAAGGGTTTGCTATGGCGACGAGAGACACTGAATCTAAGCACAGAGTACGTCAGCGCTTCAGACTTCAGCGAGACTTTGCAGATGAGTTTCTGGTCGTGTCCCACGTGTCCCAAGAAACGACCTAGGGGAAGGTTGAGCATGGCGGCATGCTGGTGTGGAACAGAGGTTATATCCGATATCCACTTAGGCTTGGTTGCCACCGGATGGTGCTGGTGGCGATGCGGGTTGAGGTGCTCGTCTTCCGTAGGAGACGCCTAAAGTGCTACAACGAGTTTGTATACCCGGAAAGCTGAGCTTTGCTGGCAAGTGATTGTGCGCTCAAGGACGCGATACGGGGATGTGATGGGTTTGCTGCGGCTTGCCGCAGCTTGGCAGTTGCCCACACCAGCTTTCGGGGGGATGCGGGCGACAAACCAAAACCACTGCTGCCACAAGAGCAGCCAGCCCCAGCAGTACCTCCACCATCCTCCACCATGCCCCTGCTTTCCTATGCAACGGCAGCTTTAGCTTCAACCCTGGGCGAAACCTCGGTCCTGGAGCTGTGGTCCGGTTGAACATTCTTGCAGGACTGAAAGGGATGCCCAGGGTTGAGAAAGTGCTGAGGATGTGGTAATGACAATAAGAGAATGCCAACATGCAGTCGCTCTGCAGTTTTCGGTGCCAATTCGCGACCCTCCCTGCAGCCACCTGTGTTGCAGATCTGGAGACAGCCCGGAAATGCCCCCCGCATGAGTTCCAGCCAGGGGGCTCGGTAGCGTGCGTGGATCCTCACGCACGGCACATGCTCGTTGAGGATGAGTAAGTATTAAAATGTATCAAAGTCAGTACGGCCACAGCAGATCCAAAAGGGCGGCCCTAGACGACTCCGCTGTACCGTCAAGAAACGGTTGCCTTTCTATCGGTGAAATTTTACCATGCGTCCGCTGCTGCCAGGTGGTGTAGAACCCCATCTGGGCCTGAGGCACAGAGAAAGAGCTGCCCTCACACAAACACAGAGCATCAGCACAGGCTTCTCTCCTCCAGGCTGGCGGTCACTGTAGCAATGTGATGGGCAAGACGTGCTTGCCGGGCAAAGACCTCCTGAGTCTGTTCGCTTCACTCTTAGACTTGACACAACAAGAGCCCTTGCACTTTAAAATGGCGAGCAGGCGTGCAGGTCCCTTGCAGCAACTGCGGAACCCGATTGAGAAAACCGCCAAGGTGCTCAAAACATAACTACGTCTACTTTTACAGTATCTCGTTCTCATTGCACGAGTGTTGCGGTGTGGCCTTACATAGGTCTTGATAAGGGTATTGCGGCGCAGCTTCCGTGTGCTGGTACTCAAGCAGTGTCAGGCTTGGCGGAGCCTGGCATGTGGGGTATACCTGTGGTAGAATCGCTGCACCCTACAGCTCGACAAGTTACTTGCAGGGACAGACTATTCATGAAGTCTCAAGTCCGTGCCTCAGGCCTCTCAAGCCTGCACAGCTCGCATGTGGCAACGTTATGTAGGGGGATTGTTGCACCTCCGCCCAACCCAAACCTGAGCACCACATCCTGCAAGTTGGAAGGAATTGGCCTCTGGAGATGGCTGAAGATGGACAACCTCCCAATCCATCTCCTGGACTGTGCAAAAGGTCGTTCCACATCCATTACGTCATGGCCGCAGTACGTTCAAGAAGGCCTGTGTTCGTGTTTAAGGACTCTTCATTATGTCGGACAAAAGATTGGAAATTGACGATGGCAAAGACTGATTTGTTTGTCCGCCGATTCTACCAAGAGCATCAAAACTACCCCTCACGTTCGATAGCTGAAACGAGACTTCACAAAAGTGTCACCAATAGTCCTTTTCTCCTACTTCTCAAGGACAAGCAGTCTGCGTGGCTGGGTAGGCTTCATCTCTTCGGGGTTAAGCGTGCGCTTCGCACGTCGCGGAATTGCACCTGAGCCTGCGTGGCTTGGTTGGCTCTGGATGCTTACCGTGGGATTCTGCACGTTTCTTGGGTTGCAAACATGCGCCTGAGCGTGTGTAGCGTGGTTGTATTCATCTGTTTTGCCTTCAGTGGTTTGTATGCCTTTTTTCAGCCCACATTTCTCCGGGTCCCGAATGTAAACCACTCCTGTTTGAAAATGAGCTCAGACCGCGGCGGACAAAAGCAGCGTGTTTAGGACACTTGGATTTCACGTCCGCGCTCACAGTGTCGATGCCTTGTGGTCTGATCTTACGGCAGCCCGTTCCATCCGCCAGAAGGCTCCGACCGGCCGGACAGCGCAGTGCTAGTGCTGAAATGCTGAGCCCAGGACCGTGAGATGCTGTGCCAAGCGAAGTCGGGGACACTCCTTAAAGTGCAAGGATCCGTTAGAGTAGAGAACAGGGCTCCGGAAGCGGATGTATACTTCCGCTAGGGCACCCTTGCCAAAGCTCGCAAGCCGAGCAGGCACCGAGGAGGTGGCAGCTCCTCGCTTCAGGTTCCGAAAGAGGCCGTCAATTCATGCTGCGCTCAAAAGAACCGTTGTAATGACACGGAGCTTCCGTCCAGCAATGCTGCTGCCACCACGGGCGCCCACGAGTCGTCTCTCTGGCCCAGGTACCTCACGTCAGAAGATGTCAGAAGCCAAGGACTCGAGCAATGCTCCCCTTTGCTGTTTTGCGCTGTCACGGCAACACCTAAAAGTTTTAAAAGGCTAAAAGGCTGTCTGACCGATGCTGCGATCGGCTCGGCCTGTAAGCCAAACCGGCTTTGGCCATGGTTTCCTCCAGAGCCTGGTTGAAGGGGTGACGTTAAACCGTGTAAGTTAAACTCTGCGTTAATATGCTTGAGCTCTTTCAACTAAGTCTCCAGGGGCATGATAAGTCGACAGCTGCCTTTCTGTTCTCGTCAATGCTCTCTCATTGTGGTGTTCGGATTCAAGACATTGCATTATATGGGGTCTTCGAGTCATTCTTCTGGCACAGCAACGAATCCCTTGACAACCTGCCTCATACTCTATTTTGCATTGTGCATCCGAGCACCTCGCTGTTGAACCACGGCCGCTTTGTGCTGTGGTCCTCACACGTATTGCTAAAATTGCTACGCTTGCATGCCAGGCATCGCTGCGATGCCACATGGTTTCTGAGAGCCCCCAACAGTCAAATGCAGTGTCACACGTCACGCATCAACCTTCCGGGTCCAGCTCACGAACGTCAAGAACGCTGGCTATGCCGCGCTGCAGCAAAAGCGAGCACAGCAGCTCGGCGCTCAGGTGCCCGCAGCCGCAAGTGAAGACCTTATCCACGGAATCATCAAACGACACGGCTGACGGCTGCCAGATGTCGATTGCATGGTGCCTGCCGAGGTCCCTCGGACGGAAACTGCAAAGTTCGCGAGGACAACGACCGATCTCCGCCCGTCGCAGCTCTTTCCATGTAGCCTGTGCAGATTTGAGCAATACCGTCACAAACGTAACACATGCTTCGGGCCTGTGATGTTCGATCTGGCCTCGCCGGCCTGTTCGGGTACCGGCGCTCGAGCGTCAAGACTCGGGTCCTGTACTGACTCGTATGGTGCAGCACATCCACCTGGACCTTCCATCGTGTGGCTCGCGACGACGTCCTGAGTTTTTTGATTGCGGAGCAGTGACGGTGCTGCACGCGCGCAAGGCGTCAGGGCTTTTGCTCCAGAAAGACTGCAAAACACCGATCCGCCAGCTGTTGTCTGAACTGCGTGCAGAGTGTCTGCGGTTGAACTTGATTGGCTTCCAGCTTCTTGAACCATGTCGGCTCCATGGCTTTGCCACACGGCAGTCATGCACGCTTCCTTGTGGCCGCGGGGCCGGCTGCCATGTACGAGCTCTTGTTGCCTCACTTGCTCATTCTGCTTGGGTGCAAAGTCTAAGGACGCTGCAGGCATCGGTCTAAACGTCCTATTAACTATCGACTCGATGCTGCAATAAGCTGACTGAAACGGACTCTGCGTCCGCGAGCTGCGAGGTAGTGCCGACAAAATACTTGCACTCCCTACGCCATCCTGTGTTTGAGCTGACATTCAGTACAGTACCGGACGGATCAGTACGGTACGAAGCAGTATGCGCCGGAAGCAATCCGCGTCTGCTAAACCTTAAGGCAGCTTGCAGCCAAATAGATCAACATTGACGAATTCGGCCGCACCTTGCACTGCGCCGCACTTTGGCCTGACAGTCAGTCTCTGTATAGGCAGGTTGCCGCATCCAATGCGTTCATGACTGCATGCAATCTCTAATCTCCATCGTGCTGCAGATAAAATGAGGAAGGAGTTTTGCGGTTGCAGGCTTGCTGCCTGAAACGTCTGGACCCGCAAAGCCTGGAGCGCACACGACTGTCCTGCACTGGGTGGAGATGAGTTTTACGAGCAAGATCACGCATCACGTTCAAAGTGCCTGCTGCCGGCGTGACGTTTCGCAGAAGATGCACTCCCGTCAAAATATCCTTCGTCGTGTGAGTAGCCACGGCAGATGCGCTGGAGGATCTGTCCAAATTGGAGCCCTTGCAGGAAGAAGATCTCTCTCGAACCAACACAAACACAAGGACAAGCTGCACACCCACACCCACACCCACGTACGCCTTACTCACTAACTTACCTTGCGGTATTGATGCACTAATGTCGGGAGGTTGGGTACGAAAGCCCCCGACGAACACATGCCCAGAAACTCCTGACTACTTCTTGACATTCCCACCGTGGCGCTGAAGGAAGTCGATCTTTTGCCCAATGCGAGTCATCTTTACTTACGGAAACCTGACTACAGTTTAGAGAGAAAACCGAAACTCGACGGAGGCTGTCAAGCTCATCCGTTTTATAGGGCCTCGCCAGTACCTCTCATGCCTCTCATCCACTGTCATCCACCTCACCTCCCACATCTGCGCTCGTGCCTTGCCGTCCTCCGCAGTTCTACGGATCGTGCTCCTGAGACTGGAAATCTCTCGCCAAAGCACGTTCCAACATGCGCAAACCGGTCGCATGTGGTTGAAGGATTCGTTGGCTGGAATGTTGAGCTGCTGGCTTCAGACAACCTCAGCAGCAAAACGTGCCAGGACAAACTCCGCAGAACTTGCTCATGCTTTCGCGACAAAATAAAGCGTGGTGTGCGGCTGCTCACGCAGCAGATGCTCCCTTTAGTTCACGAATGACTGCGCCACCGTTGTTTCCATGCCTTGCAGCTTTGAGCCAGGCACATGGAACCACTACGAACTACGAACCGCAAGTATCTCCTAGACTCTTCGCAGGCTGGAGACGTGGTGTTTTACACAAAATGCCACTCAGCAGCTGTAGAGACCACTGCCGAGCAACGTGACAACCTTGACAGCAGTGACAGGGACGAGGATCAACAAATGTCACGCAGCTTCCAAGCGGAAAAGCAACCATTGCAGCTCGCATGATATCTGTGCAACGATTCAGCGGGTGAATCTGGCGTGTCTCCGTCACTGTCCGAGGCTGCGACGGTTCCGCACCTGTCACGAAGGACCGTTGAATCGAAATGCTCGGTGCCATACGATCACTTTGCCCTTGGGGGAAGTCGTAGAGCTCTACTTTGCGCAGTTTCCACGGAATTTGTATCCGGCACAGAAAAAGTAGATCTCGCGGGTCTCCTTTTTAGCCCAGGTGGCAAGCCTTTTTGGTCTCCTAGAACTGCAAGCAGAACATTTCAGACTTTGTCAATGATCATGGCGAGACTATGGTAACATTTAATGTGGAATATACTATACGCTCTCACAACTCGGACACAGCCAGGCGAAGGAGAAGGTGCTTAATGGCTTTTCTGGGAAGACGCGGGGTCGAGAGGGGGTGATGGCAGGAGAGGAGGGGAGCAGGGAAATTGAAGAAGGGCATCTGCATCGGGCTCCTGTCAGCAGGGTGTGGTTTTAAGGGGAGGGGGAGGTGGTTGGGGCCAGCAGGCTTGGGCTTGGAAGAGGGTGGAAAGAAACAGCCAATGGCCAGGGGAGAGGGCAGAGGAGAAAGAACAAAGGGGAGAGCCGGAAGGACGAAGAGTCAGGAAATGGACAGAGGAAGGTTGGGCCATTCGGAGGTTGGCCACGGGGCTGGCAGAATGTACTGGAGGAGTGCTGAGGGCCTAGCACGAGGTGGAACACGTTGAGGAGACAGGTAGCACAAGGCTCGTATTTGATTGGTTGCTTGTCTGCCACAATCCAAGTCACCAGAAAAGGAGTTGTGTCTCTCTCCGGCGGCTATTCGCCGCTGTTTGATACAGGAGCTTTCATTATCCGACTGTGTAAAGGGACTAGGCAGGGTCCAAGACTAAGGCTTCGTTCCCGCATCGGTTGAGAACTGGGCAGAGCAGCTTTCCCTCCCTTGCTCCCTGTCGAACCCATGCTGGGTGTCCCGCAATGCTGTGTTTGTTATGACGTTGCCGAAGTAATGTGCTGAGAAACCTCGGCGATGGGAACGATGTTCTGACATCGACATACTTTCTGCCGACCGAAACTTCACTGGAAGCCCAGGAACATGCTAAGCACCATGCTGCAGAGTCGTTGCCGTAAGGGTCCGGCAAATGATCAATGCCCTCTTCGCGGTGTTCATCACAGAAAGCGTGACCGGAGAGTAGCAGGACCTCGCATGCTTCAGTAGTCCTGACTGGATTCGAAACACTGTGTCTGTGCTGTGTTGAGGGAAGACGTGCTCGTTGCAGTTCTGGAGTCACTGCAACCAGCTTGTAGTGCAGCTGATGACGAGTTCAACTTTGAAGCTGTGGCGGCTCGGCCTTCCGTCTTGGGACATGTCCCCTCATGTTCGTCCCTAGACGCGGAGCACCGCGGGTCCACACTTCACCACAGTACCTGATCTGATTTTTGAGCCATGCCTGAAGCAATCAGATCGGGCACTGTGGCCAAAATCGTTGCACCGGCTGACCCAATGCAGCGTGAAATCCGGGCACCGCCACAGGACGTGCAAATTTCCGGAGGGAGTATGACTTCTGTGCCTGTGCAGTGGAGGGGAAGAGGGAACTCCCTGCAGCGCACAAACACAAATGCAAGAACTTCCGTACATGGGTGAGCTTAGGCTATGTATGCATAATTCCACCATGCTCGAACATTTTGGATACAGGCTAGCGGCGCCGAAGGTTAATGTTGTTCTTGATTTGCCTTCCCTCCCCATGTTATCAGGAGCTACGTGTCAATGGCAGCATGAACTCGATCACCGATAGCACCTGCAAAAGCAAGGATTGTCACAGGTAGGTCCACCAGTTTGTAAAATCCGTACTTAGATCATTGATGCATCGAGGCTCAGAAGTCCAACGGGGTACTGGTAGACATGGTGCCGTTCTTTGCTTCTAGGCAATTGAATTCAAGTAAGTTGGGACGCAGGAGGTCCTGATGGCGGTGAGACCAGCAACTCCAGAGCTCCGTCAGCTCAGGCGACGGCATTATTTTGAAGGCTAGCGCAGACCTCAGTCAACTGATCTTTCAAGTCAGATTCTGAGTCTTCGCAGCCGCCGGCTCCTTAAGCACGCGACTGTAAGAAATACACCTTGGCTGTTGCCATAGCTTTTGCTTGCATGTGGCTGCTGCGGAAGCACAGCAGCGAAGAAGTTTGTTTCTGCAGCCAAACGGCAAAACCTGCAATAAGGAGCCATGCCCATTGCAGTGCCTGGGATGCCCACAGCGTATCTACTTGATGTTGCCTCCCCACCGCAGAACATTCACAGTGCACGCAGAACTCTGTCCACTGTTCCACTGATGATGCATTCGCCAATCCCAGATATTCTGACGAAGCTGCCGCATTCGGAAGTACCAGGCTGCCTCAAGCGGCAGAACTCCGACGCCGACGCTTAATACCAGGTCGGAATTTGACAGTGGCTTCTGTAGCAGTCTGGGCTGCACCAGGCAGCCCCTGACTATGTAGCTGCAGGTCTTTGTAGAAGGTAGCAAACACGAACTTGTTGTTCCACCCTTTCTGTCATGTTACATGCACCCTGCCTTGAAGAAAAGCTGCACCAAAGAACGGAATCTGAACTACCTTGGCGTCTCGTAACTGGAACCACAATTTGGAGGTGCTAAGCCTTCGCAGCCCATTGTCAATGTGCAGGCAATCAAGCCGCCCAGACGTAATTCCCGGTGGAGATCTCTTTGCGTTGCTTTGCTTTGGGCTTGGGCTACGGGCAGATTTCTTTCTTTTGCTAGGGCTGTGGGCGGGGGAGCACAGATCTCCCTGTCTCTCTCGCTCTCGAGGTTCGGGCAAAAACCAGCCCTACAAACATGCACAGCTACACACATCCGCTCAGTGGAGGTCTTGCAAGCACCTTCGTCCAGGACCACGGACTTGGAAGCGGATTCTGGATGTTGAGTGCTGCATGGATTTCCCCTGATTTACAGTGCCATGTGCTTGGCGCCACATCCGTATGCAGCGATGCAGCTTGAGAACTTTCAGCAGCAGCCGTTTGGAGCTATTTGAAGTCGAGGTGTGTGGGTGTGTGTGTGTGCGCGCGCCGCTTGCCCGAGACGACCGTGATCTGAGCGACCTCTCACCTAAAACCGTGCCTGTGCAATCATTCGTTGACACCATAATTATGTTGGGAGAAGTCTTCCGTGCTTTCCACATCCGAGTAGCCAGTGAAGCACAAGCGCTGTAGTATTGGAGCCTGAGTCTCACCGGGCGTGCATCTATTGCGATATGTACTCTCGCAGAATGCGTAATGGATCGTTGCAGCTTCTGCTTCTTACATAGCCAGAGAGAAAACCTTCTGACCTGCAAATGGCTGCGACATGCTAGATGGCACGACACTTTTCTTAGCTCCAGGCTGACCGGAGGTGAAGCGAGCTCCATCAGGTCCCGGCCTCATCCCGGGGTCGAAGAAATACGGGCTTTCCGCTCATTCTGCCACGAGCAGCCCTTCGCGTAAGTCGATCGCTGAAGCAGCTGCGAACAGAATACATTCTGGACCTGAGCACATAAGAGAAGGATCCGAACATCTCAAGGGCACCTCCGTATGAGGTGCATTTCTGCGCACAAGTCAAACATGTTGACGTTGTCGCAATGCTTGCATGTGAAGGCAACACTCACTGTCTTGCCGATCAGCTCAGGCTTCCGCACATTCGGCTAAGTTAGCCAGGACAGCAGCCACAAAACCGACCTGTTTTCAGGCTGCGCTCCGCATTGTTGCCAGGCCGGGCCTGCAAAATTGGCCTTGCCCCTCCGCCTAGTCCCCTTATAATCATAGGTCCCGACGAGGCAAGGCATGTGTGAACTTGCATCCGAATGGGAACGAGCTGACAGAGTTTGTCGCCACGTTCATCCAAGGATCAAGCCACCGCGAAAGAATGCTCGCCAGCAGCGGCTGTGATGAGGCCTGTCGAGCGGCATGCCTTCTTGGCATCGTGAGAGATAGGGCGGCGATAAGGTGTTAGTCTGTCTGGACATCATCCATCAATTGGAGTCGGAGGTCACACGTCCGTGTACTACTGCGGGGACCAAGGTCCAGAATCTCTTCAAGAGCTTCTGTAAGCCGGCCAGCTCCCGCCTAGCATAACTGGAACCAGGGTTATCAGCACCGGCAGCCTCAAGCTGGACAAGGAGTGGTTGGACGGGACATTATTTAGATCCGCATGGCAGAAGGAACCACGCGACCATACTCGATTGGAGAAATCCCACCAAAAACAGAGACAAACGACAACCAGGGGATGTGATTACTCATACCAAGATGGCCACAAATCACATGAGAGTGCTACTTCTGCTGATCTATTCCCGTGTGCCATGGCTCACTAGATCTCACTAGCACATGACTGCGGGCCCCGGCGGCGTCCGCTCACCGGTCAGGAACCAAGCAGCCACCACCTAGACATCGCCGCGCATAGCAGTAGCGTTTCTTCTTGACTTGGGGCCTGGCCCTGCCCCAGGGCCATTGTTGCAAGCTGATGGTCATGGCTTCTACTCGCACAAGGCCCGGGCTGTGAAGAAGGGGCTGGAGGCCTGCGAGCCCGAGCCATCAGCTTGCAACCTTCTGCGTGACCGAGAAACCTTGATTGTCTCCGTGAAGGACGCCGCTACGTATCGCAGGCTGATCAGGCCCATCACCGCAACAAAAAACCTTTCACGAGGCGGCTGACTTGCATGCGCTCCCATATTCTGTAACATGTTCATCTCAATCTTGTTCTGGCGGGCACATGAGAAGTCGTGCTTTCAGTAGTGCGAGGATCTGGGCATCTCGCCGAAAAATGCCCAGGACTAGCAAGCTCTTTCTCTGCTTGACCTCGGCTGCAAGTGCATGAAGTGTCCTCACGTGCCGTGATCCCACAAAGGCAGGCGAAAACCAAGCGCGGTCTGCTGTAACAGTATCAGCATAGGCAACTCGGCATTGAAGGCTTGAGCTCTGGACCCAATCTAGCTTTGACGTTGAAGTGGAAGGCCTGTAGATTCACTGTAGATGTGGCAAGTCCTACAGCTGACCAACAGCAAGACTCGGAATCTGACGAGCGTGAAACTATGAACTCCCGTCTCGGAGCAACTCTTTGAATCTGCCTTCTATAACTCAAGGCAACTGTCCAACTACTGCCGAGGCATTTGCAAATAGCTACCCCTTTGTTGCTGCACCCTGCTTCCCTGGCCTGCCAATGACTTCGCGCAGCTTGCCGAAAACCACTGTGGACCTCGGCGAGTCTGTGGCTGAAGGTCGGCCGCTGATCTAAAGATGTAGGCCAACCACGTGAGTGTTAGATCGTGCTTCGTGTTTGACGATGGTGTCGCTTGCAAGCTGGGCTCGCACTACCGTGGCCAAGGTTTCGGCAGCATCTGCGCCTGAGAGTGTTGGTTGCCAGAGTTCAAAACCGAGGCAGCAGATCGACAGCTTCTGCCAAGCTCTGCAAGAACACCAAGTCACTAAGGGTGTATCCAATCAGCCTTTGCGGCATTCTGCTCTTGATGCCGTGCTCGATGCCTCTTGCCTTTTCTCTGAGATCCCTGCCAGCACTAAAGCCAAAGGCCCTACATGGCCGTCCTCTCCTGCACGTGACACTTTCATTGCGTCTGTGACTGTTGTCACAAGTCATAGTCATGACTGGTCAGTATGCAGCAAGTTGCAACGTGAGCGCGTGTATGCACTTCCGTCTGTCTGTCTTTCTCGCGGTTGGCACCCTGCCTGGTGACAGGATGGTCTTGTTCAACACGATGCCGAAGAATGACCTCGGTACTTCGTGCATGCAAACCCTTACAAGTAGCTGTGTTACATCTTCAGTTGTCCGCTGTTAAGGGGTTGATGCCGCCAGTCCGATGGTTCACACTCGCTGTGGCAACTAATTAACCACCAAAAAGGCCGAAGCTAGGGCGCAAGCACGACATACCAAAATGCGACCTGAGATCGTTGATTGATTGATTGATTGATTGCCTGTGGGTGCGAACACCCTTGCACTTGCGAGGCAAAGGAGGCTGGTCCGTGCTGTACACACAGACAGCGCTGACACAGATGCGATAAGCATGTTATGGACACCGTGGTCAAGTCTTCGCGGGCATTGCTGGAGACCGTACACGCGAAGGCTGGACAATCTTATCAAGTTAAGCATGTGGCTGAGCATGACGGCTTGTGAAGCTAATGGCAAACGACCTTCGGGAGTTGATGCGAGCTGGATGCTAGCCATGCTGCAAGACTCAGCTTCGCAGTTCCACTAAGATGTGGATCCGTCCTTGGTTGCAGTCAGGCTTGCAGAGATCATGGTGCTGTGGACTTGCTGAGCATCTCGCATAAACCGGTCCCAAGTCGGCTTAGGACCAACTGCGAAGGCCCTCTCGATAGATTCGACGAACCTGAATTCCAGTCAATCACCAAGCCTTGTCATCAAACTTCTGAGATTCTTTCCGAGACTGTGGCAGGAACCCAGCCGAGACTATACACTGCCTGAAGACTCCTCCTCGACAAGGAAGCTGGTGTGGTAGCTTCGAGACACACCCGTTTCAACACGTCAACTCAGCACACCACCACACTGTGATACCTCGTAGAGTCGTCTGCATGGACATGCTAGTCTGACTAGTCATTGAGTTGCACGACGGATCTGCAGTCCTTGAAGAGTTGAGCAAGGCGCTCTTTCAGCGTGCCGAGATGAAAAAAAGGAAACTGGGAGCCTGATCAACAACACGCCTGCAAGGCAAGCATCCAAATTTCGGGGGCGCTTGCCACTTGATTCTCTTCCCGAGGGGGAAGGGTCTCCAGGAATTCCATCACATAATTCGCAGACGCAAACTGAAGCCAAGTAATGTCAAGTGTTTGCAGCGTCAACCTTCCAGAAAGATTGGCTGGGTGCAGCAAGCAAGGTCTTGCGACTTCTCCGCAGGCTTAAAGTTCGCCAATACGCAGCTGCACGCTTCTTGCGCATTTTCAACTGTCGAATCGCATTTCATCTAAGCGTCCTTTCGAAGGGCGAAATACAGAACGCCTGCAGACATCCTTTGCTGCACGACATTAAGCAAGCCACTCCTCGACTGTGCTGCGGAGGAGCGGGTATCAAAGATTTGTGCATGGGTGTGGCGCGCGGCCACGCTGGAAGCCCATTGAAAGACTCAGATGAAGCCATTGCCGACTTGAAACGCGGCAGGGACCTCGGGATCTTTTTTGAGTGCACACTGCACATATCCCATGATGCCGAAAAGAAAAGCGGACGGACGGACGGACAAAACTGGAACAAGAGCGGCCTCACAGTTGCTTTTGGACAGCGGATATCACTGGATGCTGTATGGCGACCCGGCCTGACTCACTCTTCTGGGGACCACAACTTGATTTCGCCATCCTGTGTGGTCAGGAATTGTTTTGTGAACTGTGCCCGCTGCACTCCTCGCTCGTGGCTGAGAAACCCAGCCTTGCGAGCCCTTTCCTCTGCCTACTGGCCGAGGCTTCTCCTGGATGGCGCTCGCTTAGACTCAGACATCTCCAGGTAGCAGATCAACCGGACTGCATGCCGCACCCACAACATCGATCAGAAAATGTATGGCACTGGATGCAAAGGCAACTTGGACATCTCTATCGTTCAACCCTTCCACAGCTTCGAACATGAGAATTTCTGCAGCTGTGTCACTCGCTTGGCATTCGCCCTGCTTTTGACAAGGGTCATTTGGCAGAGAGTGGAGTTTTGTAGGGGTCGCGGAGCTGTGGGGCCTTTAGTCGCTTGCAGTACGTGAAGTCGGCATGCTTCTGCCCCTTCCTTCCCTGCCCCCGCTCTCCTGATACCACTTAAACCCCCTGTTGAAGCACCTCGAACTCTCTGGGCTTCTTTTTCTGTGTGTCGTCGGGAGCCAGTCCACGAAATACCCAAACAGCAAATGCAGGCAGGGGTGCGTTTGATGTCCATGCCAGCATGCATCCTAGCTCGAGCTTGCATACTTGGCGACGGGAGGGAGCGAGAGAGACAGGGACAAGGAGCGCGAGAGGGAGAGAGACAGACAGACAGGGACAGAGAGCGCGGAGTCGGAGAGTCGATCTTTCTCGACTATTGGACCCCCGCCTCGAAAGCATTTGCTCGTCGGCGCATAGCTCTGCCAAAGCGACTGAGGCCGCCGAATGCTCGGCACCGGTCTGCACAAGTCAAGATAAGTCAAGGTAGACAGCAGCAGCACTCAAGAACCAACCAGCAGCCAAAGATCTACCACAGCTAAAGTCAAACCTGCATTATTAAGGCGCCATGTTTCCTTTGTACGTCTTACACCTCCACGCGCATTGGAAACAGGGCTGTGCGCATAGCTTCAAGCACAATTTGCTGGAGAGAAGACCATGACATGTGTGCAGAGGGTATGTGTTCGACACGCAGTCAGGAACACTTTCTCAATTTCGATACTGGGGCACTGCTCATTCATCTCAACGGAGCGTGCGAATTCACCGTCAACCTGAAGACTCATTGCACAACCTCCTACATTCAGCCACGCACATCTTCATCGCTGAAAGCGACAGAAAAACTCGATCAAGATCGACCTGCTCAAACGTCCCAAGCTTCGGCTTCTTAAAGTTTCTGGCGCAGGCCTTGGCATATTTGCACGCACCAGGGCCAGCAAGAAGTTTTGAAGTATCCTAGATCTGTCCCCTACATTTGGGACCAACATGTCACAGTGCAGCCACAAGCTGACACCTGAAACAGGAGAGGGCGGGCGGGCAAGAAAAAGACACCACGGGAACAACAACCCCGCGACACCGAGACCCGTCGTGAGTCTGACCCAAAATGGCAGCCGGCCCGAGCAGAAAGCTGAAGAAAGGCTGCTGGCTTGACCCTATGACATGCGAGTTGATCAGTGCAAGCACGGATTCCTCTACAAGTCACAGTGCAGCCACAAGCCCCAGGTTATGCAGACGCACTTTTCCCCCGAATCCGACGAGGTCCGAGAAGTGGCAGATCAGATCAAAATTCCGAGGGACCCGAGGCAGGCATAGCTCAGACAGGTCCGAAGACCGGTCGGAAATACGCCAAGTCCGCAGGGCTAATGCCTGCCAACTCCGAAGGGGCCCGAGGACTTAACACGTGGGAAGAAAACGGCACTCGAAAAACACTGAATCCCACTGCCCCGCCCCGGCCAGGGGATCGGCACCTGTGGCAACCGCCCCTGGGGGGGAGAGGGGGGTCGCCCGGACTCCCGGTCACACCGGCCAGGGGCCAGAAACTTATCGCGGCACAATCACGAAAGGGATCGTGGACCTAGATCCCGTCGAGGATGAGCCTGCTGGGCTCGCGTCCATTCGGGGAGGAGCCTCCTCGCCAGGGGACGAGCAAGAGTCCGATTCCAAGGAACTCGCCGAGCCCGAGCCATCCAAGGGTTCCCCGCTGGAGGAGTCCTTGGGCACAACACTAAGCCGAAAGCAGTCCGGGGGCTGCTTGGCTCGCGCCGCCTTAGCACAGAAGACGTAGTCTGGTGTCCAGTCCAGCTCGTAGAAGGTGATCAAGCTCTTGGAGTCCTTGGGCCTCCAACCACAACCCAGGCAGCGGTAGCCTCGATCAAACCAGTGTACCCGATACACCGGAGGAGACCCGGTCTTCCGGGAGTTGGTCGCCATAAAGGCGGGGCCATCCGCCCGCTTCTTCTCCGGAGGATCGTTGGCCGCAGGGAGCAACGGGAGCTGCGCGACCTCATCCTCCATGGGGGGCTCTTCAGACAACTGGTAGTAGGGGGCATCAAGGTCTTCCGGCACAAACCGAACCCCATCCTCGGCATTCGGCTGGGGCTTGGAAAGGACTTCTTTCCAAATAGACAGGACCACTGAGCGGTGTTCCCTCGTGTAAACATCCGCCATGCTGTCCCCCTGCCAACGTCCCAAGTAACGACGTTGTTCCCGGGGGACTCCCATCTGGAAGGCCAGGTTCGGCATGAAAACCCTGAACGAGGAGAGAGTCATCATCTTGACCTCCTCCTCCGCAATCCCAGCCCCCTTCATAGAAAGGAGGGCCCTGAGCCACCGCAGGGCCCGAGAATTGTCACAAGGGGCCCTCGTGAAGTCTAGGCGGTCGCGGTCTGGGACCGGGATGGAGGTAATCGTCTTCGAGGCCCTTGGTGGCAAGGCTGTTCCGCCTCTTGCTGAAGGCAATTATGGGTCCCCACCATTCAACCTTGGAGAAGGAGACCAGCGGTGAAATGAGCGGTTGGGGACGATCGTTGTCTCCAATCTCCTTCACCTTAGTCTGCCAGGCGGTGAACTCGAGAGTGTCCTTAGTGAGCTTCATGGTGTCAGGCCTGGTATGGACTGTGTCAGAGAACCTAGCCGAGGCCCCGATGCAAAACCTGAAGAACGAGGCCGCGTAGCCATCCGGGGAGCCCTCCGGAAGGGACCCGGCCAACTTCTCCAACGCCGTGACTACCTCCATGGAAGGTGGTGTGGCCCTCCTCTCCTTCTTAGCTTCCGACGTGACCAGGAGGCCCCTGGTGTATTCGTAACGTCGGTTGATCGCCTGGTGGGTCGTGGGGTCAAAACCACCAAAATGCTGGGGGATCCAGTGCAGCCTCCGCCACAACTGCCCCAGCCTGTAGATGGAGAACTGTTGGTCAACCGCCTCGTGGAGTAGGTGCTTCGCCTTCTCCTCTGAAAATGGTAAGGGGGAGCAGCCCAATGTGGAACGGAGCTTCTTGAGGCTGTAGAAGACCGACTTCAAAGAATTGACTCTTGCTTTTCCCACCAATGGCCGCCAGACCTCATACTTATCCTCCCCCGGCTTGATGTCCTGCATATTGTCCAGGTGTCTGTGGTAAGGGGCAAGGACCGAGATGATCTTGTCAGCCCACTTCTTCTTTGCTGCCCTGTCCACAGCCAGTTGTTTGACCGGGCCTTCCATCAACGCAGGTCTCGGTGCCCAGTGCTCCCAAGACCTTTTCCCGCTGAGGCGTTCCATTGGGAGGGACCTCCCAAAAGCCTTGTCTGCCAGAAGCTGACCCACTGGAGAGAGAGATGTCCAGGAAGGGCAGCCCGACGCTGCCAGCTGGAGCCTTGTGATCGCCTCTGGGAAGGTCTCTTCAAGCTTTTGAATCCTATCCTCCGGAATCGTCTGAAGCCAGGTCGCCTTAACGCCAGAAACCACGTCAGGGTCAAGGAGGGCCTTGGCAGCAACGTCACACTCCACCGGGTGTGGGCCCAGGCCCATGTCCTTCAAAGTGACCTCCAACCCTGGGAGGGTCTGCTTGAGCGCCGGGGAATAAGCATGTTCCATGCAGGAGACGTGGGACGTGGACCCTCCCCAACGGCACCTGAGGCAACCGGAGGGAGGACCAACCTCCCTTTCGCCCCTAACAAGGAGCAAAGCGCCCAGAAAAAGCACCAGGCAGGGCCACCAATCCTTCCTGGGATTGCCTCCGAGCTGCCCTCCTCCTTGCGGTGCTGCATCGCACACAGCTGCATCGCTCAGTGTCCCGGCCGTCATTCTCCAAGTCCAGGGCCTCCATGTTCTCAGGGGGGGGAGGGGCACCAGGGTCGGGTCGGCGGGGTCTATCCCTCGCTGGCGTCCTTGGCGGTGTGAGCGGCACTGAGGCCAGCGTTGTTCTGGCGAGTCTCGGGGGGGAGCGTGAGGAGAAAGGACCAATCAACTTGGTCTGCCACCGGTCTGCCAGAGCCTTCCACAAGAAGCTCCCTGGCCCTCGGCTGGAATCGTTCCCAGATAGCGCGTGTCCACGACCTGGTCAGCATTCATAAGTGATGCCCTCTGGCTCCCTGGCACGAAGAAGAGGAAACAAGAGAAGAAATCGGCCAAAACAGCTGCGGGGCCCGGCCAGTCACAGGGGCAAGAGCGTACCCAGCACAGCCTGACACGTGCAAGCAGGAACAGCGAAGCTCCCACCCCTCCCCAGCAAGAAAACCGAAAAGGAAAGAAACCCAGACCAAAGAAAAACCCCCCGAAGGACCCCCCCCCGAAGAAAACCCCCGCAGAGCAAGATCGCGTCCCTCTTCTTTTGAGCAGCCCAAGGCCGGTAGTAAGAGAAGCAAACGTCCGAGGCGCCTTCCCCTTCAGACTCCCTCGAAGTTCAGGTTCAGGAGAGGGAATCGGCACCTGAGGCAACCGTACCCCCCCCATCCCCCAAGCATCGAAGCTGTACTGGGGAGGCAGTGCCCCAACTTGTTGAAAGAAGAGGATGTGGCACCCCGTAAAACGGCCCAAAGGCTCCACGAGAGGGCGCCAACATCGATTACGCCACCTTCCCCAGGCTAGGGGGCAGCAATCCTCATCTCCACATCACCGTTCTCCCTTGACCGCGTCGGCCAGGACGTCAAGGGACTGGAGGGCTTCCAAAGAAGGCTCCGAGAAGACAAGACGCCACAGCTGTGCGGAGGCCTCCGGGCCCAAGCGGATGCGGTAGGGGTTCTGCCCTGGCATCTTGTGTGGGGCCGCGTCAAGTAGCGGGGCCGTGCCCTCGAACTTCCGGCAGAAGAGCATGCGCCCCTGGATCCACCTCTCACGCTCTGCCTGCGGCGGGGCCGTGACAGTGGCCTGCAAGACCACCTCGCCATCGAAGATCTCCAGGAGCCAGCCATGCATCTCGTGGCCCTTGAGCCACTTGCCATCCACCGAGTCCCGGCCCCATTCCGTCCTGCAAAGGGTGCAGGCGTAACGGTTCTTGGTACATTGCTCGAGCCAACCCTGGTGTAGTCGAAGCCTGACAGGGCCGGGAGGACCATACCACATTCCATGTGGATCCAGTGCCTCTGGTTGGGCTTGTCCACGAAGTTCGGGGCCTTCACCCAAGCCCCTCCAGTGCAACGGTAGTACTGGAAGTTCATGCAATGGACCTCGAAGCTCATCCGGCGGAGGATGATCGCGTAGTCCTCCGGGCACTTCGGTTCTCCGAACCCTCTTGCCTCCATCCACGACTTCGCCTTCAAGCGCAGGTCAAGGAAGGCCTGGCGGCGGGCCGCACGGTACTCTCCCCGTTTGCGGAGGTTGGAACGCACCAGGGGAAACCCCTTCTGAAACTTCTTCTGGCCTTCATTTTTTGTTGGGCCCACCATGTTCCAGATGTCCTTGGCCGAGAGCACGCTGCCATAGCAGTTCAAAAGGTCCCTGAGGGTCACCGTCTGGAGGTTGAGCCGCCAGTGGTGGGGCTCACTGTCTACCTCCCCTTCCTCTACTGGCTTAGAAAGCGCCACCATAGGGTTGAGGAGGTTCCCCACCATCTCCGGGATCTGAAGGCTGTGCGTCGCCAATCCATGCTTGGCGAAGATGGAGTTCACTGCGTGCATGGCCGATGCGAAGGCTGTGTGGCTGAGGTCCGTCCAGCCGGCGTACCATTCGTCAGCCTCCACTTGGGTGACCGAGCCCGGTTGCGTCACCCACCTCCAACCCGTGAGGTAGGACTGTTTCTTGCACATCTGCAGCATGGCGTTCAGGGTCCGGACCTGGTCTTCCAGAGTCTCCGGGGCCTTCGTCCCCTGCAGCTCCGGGAACGGCTTGTCGAAAAGGGCCGGGTTGAAGAAGGCGGCCACACGCTTCACGTCGGCCTGGTGCTTGAGGTCTCCACCTTCGATGTCCTCCGGGACATTCGGTATCGACTGGATAATCTTGTGGACCGCCACCACTTCGGATTGGACCCGGCCGAGTACGTCTGGGTCCCTTTCTTGGAAGCTCGAGAGTTCACCCGTAACTCCTTCGGAGTGGCGCTCCACCAGTTCCACCAGCTCCTTGCTCCACAGGCTTGGCGGCTGGACCACCGGAGTGTAAACAAAATGGTCCTGGAGCTGCTCCGCGTTGCGCTTCTTATTCTCCTCCCGCTTGGCCTTCTCCTCCTTGTCAAAGGTCATCTCCTGAGGTGCCAGGGTCCTACGCATCGCAGCAAGAAGGCCCTGACCCTGGTTGGTCCCAGTGAGGTTGGCAGCCAACGTGGCGGAAGAGATCTGGGCCATGTTTGCGACCGCCCTCTTACCAGGGAGGAGTCCCGTCTTAGCTACCTCTTCCGCCGCATCCACGTCCCTTCCTCCATGGCCGCTTGCTCCATGGTTTTCCATGGCGATGTCCCGGTCCGTGGGCGCCCGCTCTGGTTTCGGGGTCCACCCATCGGCACCTGAGGCAACCGGGGTGTCCCCCTCTGCCTTCGCCAGGCACGGTTCAATGCCAGGTCCAAAGCTGGCATTTACAGAAGAGCCATCCAAGTAGGAGATCACAAAGATATCCCCCGCCTTCGCCTTCACCTTGGTAACATCGGAGAGAGACAGGACTCGACCACTGGCGTCCACCAGGGTGGGTCCCGAGGGGCTGTCGAAGTGCTCCCAGCCCTGTTGCCCAAAATCCAGGAGGTTCCCCGCAGCGCGTGTGTGAAGGAGGCCTAGGGCCTAGGGGGAGGAGCAGTCCAGATGATCGAAGATGTTCTTAGCGACATCCGCTCCCGGGACCAGGTCAAGGAGCGTGGTGTCCTTCTGGTTCGGGGTCTCCATCAGCGTCCTGAGGTTGCAGATTGCCATGCCAAGCTTGGTCAGGACTGTCCTGACCGTGGGCACGTCCGCATACTCCTTCAAGACGTGGGCCATCTCCCCCTTCTGGACCACAAGGAGGAGCGGGAGGGCGTCTCTCGCAACAGGTGAGAATGTCCGCTCCTTGGTTCTTGAAGGCAGTGGAGGCCGCCTCGTTGGAGGAGGCCCAGGCGACCAGCTTCGAATGGCACTGGAGCACTGCCAGAGCAGCCCCCGCGGCCGCCCTGAGGACCTTCCCTCTGTGTGTGTTGTTCTCCAGGTTCACCGCCTCGGGGCCGCGTCTTCCAGGGTGATGCGGGCATTGGCCATGTCCGGGCTAAAGACCACTCGGCATTCGTGTGGCTTCTGCTCCGGGCCATTGGGCAGTCTAGGTCGAAGCAAAAAGGAGTCCTTGGGAAGCCTGATCCGCCATCTGCTGAGCCAGGTCATCCGAGGAGTACGTCCCCCCCACCCGGCCAACGGCACCTGAGGCAACCGGACCGGGTGAGGAGTCCTTCCCCATCGGGCCGGCAGAGTTGATGGCAGCAGAAAGAGCAGGGCCCGGCAACTTCCTCTCATATTCCGTCGAACTTGTACTTGAAGTCCTCCCGGAAACTAGTCGAGGTGTTCTGCCAAGCACCCTCCACCAAGCGCCAGGAGGATCCATCCGGGGCCGGGGCCTCGATCGAAGCGTTGGCTTCCCTGACAGGAAGCACCGTCTTGTTGCACAGCAAACAACGAACCCTGAGCGCAGAGGCAAACCTACCCCCACAGGAAGGGTCCGAGCAGATGTAAGGCAAGGGCGCCATCGAGGGCCTAGGCACCGTGGCTGTGCCAAACCCTTGGCCCTGCTTCTTGAGGATTTCCTCTTGGCGGAGCGTCGCCATTCTGCTGCGGAGGTGGCCCCCGACATTCAGGATCGCGTCCTCGAGGAGCCCTGAGTTCTCAGACTCCACTCCAGCCACCATCTTCTCCACCACCAGTTTCGGGAGGGACCGGAGGATGGTTGCAACCTCGCTGCGGAAGAGGCGGTCGGGCATCACGTCTCGGGACACCAACCTGTAGACCGCCTTCGTGGCGTCCACGCACTGGACCACCGCCCTGTCCGTGCCCAGAAGTTCCTCTTTCGTCAAGGTCGGCAGGGAGAGGATGACCGTGCCAACGTTCTTGAAATCCAGCTTGTGCTTCATGTGCATCAACCCGCTCACAAGGAGACTCGGGTCCTGGTGGAACTCCTTAGATGTTGCGTCCACATGAGAGAGGAGCTTCACGCGGTCCTCCCTTCTCAGGCAGTTCCACCGGGCCAAAACTGTGCTGGCGAACTCTTGGCCTTTTATCATCCCCACCTCCTCCGGGACGGTGCAATACCACCTGCACACAGCCTCCCACCAGGGGTGGGACTTGCTGAACAAGTCCATGACCGAGACAAAAGGCAGCTCCTTCTGGAGCATCACAACCCGATCTTCGATCAGCGGCAGGACCGCCTGGGGTCTTTTGCCGCGTCCAGCTGCTCTTGAACCCAGGCCTGCAACTGCTCCACGTCTTCATGTTCCACCCATGCATAGTCTCCGGAGGTGCTTGGCACCGTGATCGATGGGGCCTTGTCGGCCACCACCCAGGAGCCATTGGTCGAGTCGATCAAGCCCGGCTCCGAAAGAGCCACATCCTGATCTACCGATGGCGCCCCCTGGGAGGGAGGGTCGGCACCTGAGGCAACCGCGCTCCCTTCCCCAGGGGGCGCGTCCACCATGGCAAAGTCGCCATCAGCAGCCAGATCCGCCGGCTCCACCATCTCGACATCCAATGCCTCAGGTGACACCTCCTGGGAGGGACGATCGGCACCTGAGGCAACCGCGTCCACTACCACAGGAGGCTTGCCCGCAGCAGAGGAGTCGCGGCTGGAGGTACATGTCCAGGAAAAGACGCTGGAGGATGGGCTGTCCCTTGAGGAGACCCACCGTGTGACAGGCTCGCAGTGTTTCGATAACACCTGCTCTCTTCACCTCGTCTTCTGATTGCTTGGTGACCTGGGCGAGCAGAGCCGTCACATCTTCAAGGACAACACCATCTGCAGCACCTGCAGGAGCCGCTCTGGTCGAGATAGGGGCAGCTTCTGCCTCAACACCCTCCTGTGGTGCCACAGGGGAAGAGAACTCGTCAAGTTCGAAAAGGTTCTGCTGCATGCGCTGCAGCGCAAGGTTCTGTCTGATCTGCACAGGCAGATCGTCGTGCGAGGCACGCGGGGGAGTCGACATGACCAGCAACAGAAAACAATCAACCAAGAAAAAGACACCACGGGAACAACAACCCCGCGACACCGAGACCCGTCGTGAGTCTTGACCCAAAATGGCAGCCGGCCCGAGCAGAAAGCTGAAGAAAGGCTGCTGGCTTGGCCCTATGACATGCGAGTTGATCAGTGCAAGCACGGATTCCTCTACAATTGCAAAAATGTTACACCGGCGAAACCAGAACTTTGGATTTCATGAGGCGTTGTCAACTTTTGGTTCAATTCCGCTCAACCAACGAAATATGCAACAACAGGCTTTTCGAGTCATTTCGAAACTCCCGGCGGGGAGACGCTTACAGTATGGCTTACTTGTCTTCTGGGCTCTCCTGCCTCATAGCCCTAAAAGCCTTGGTCAACCGGAAGATTCATTGCTGGCAATCCTGCCTGCCAGGCAAGAGCATCCGTCAGACTAGTGCGGGTGGCCACGTAGAATGAGGTGCCAGAACAAAAGCTGGATGTGCCAAATTTTTGCTGCAGCAGACGTTTCCCAAGCGGACGAAAGAAGTGCAAGGGCGGTGCCAAAGGACTCGGCCTGTTTCTCCTTGCTTGTGACCCTGATCATACTCACCGGCAAGACTGCAAAACTTGCACCAGGTTAACATTTTGGGATAGCAGGACCAGAATGACAAACTCCTGAATGAGAGGTGTGTCTCTGATTGACTGAGATTGTCTGAACAGCATCTGCCGGGCTGCGCAAGTCTTGATTCAGGGAGGCATTTCATGCCGCCCCAAAGCATGCAATCACGCATCAGGACAATACGTAAACGCACATGTGGACAAGGGTCGCCTCCCACACTCTTAAACGTTCCCCTTGATTTTGACTCCCCCTCTTTCACCCCTTTCAAAGGGCCTTCTGCGGGTGCACTTGGCCAACGAAAGCCGCATCGGCCCAGTCTCCGTCAAAGCACTTCAAGGTGACGGTGCTCTGGTATCCACCAAGCACCTGTAAGTCAATGGCAGCTAGGGGGACCCTGCCGCGAGTCACCAGCAAAGCGAACATGTTCCCAGCTTCGTCTGTCTTGTTCAGAGCCGAATCAAGCTCCGTCCAAAGCAACCCTTATGACAGCCACGGGCGCTTGCAGCGTTGTATAGGCCACTTCGCCTGCCACAGCACAGGCAGACGTGCGACGCACAGCTCCCATTTCCATAGCAAGTTCTTTCTTACTTTGGAACGTCTATAACTCAAGAAGCAGCACAGTACACTAGTCAGTTCTACCACAGCCCCGGATGCCTTTGTTCATCACCTTCCGGGCGATCTTGCCACAAAGGGCATTCAAGTCCTGGCGTGGTGCACTGCAAGCCTTATTCTATCTGCGTCTGTCGGCCTGCAGGTGGCAAGTCAACAGTACCTGTTGTGTGGCAGCTTCCGGGCTAGTCCTGCTTGGGCTGGGCACGGAACACGTCCGTTGCTGGCTGCGGGCTCGTCTCCGGCAGCCGGATGAGAGCCTGAGCTATGCTACTTGTCAAATGGGCATACTGGAACTTGCCATGGCCCGGCAGCGAGAGCCTGAACCTTTCTCGGCCCGGAGCCCAAACTTGTGATGCAGCACATAACTTCACAACCCATCGCTACCTCGATTACACCCTGTTTAAATCAGCCGCATCGAACAGTTTTCTTGGAAGTTTGCATCCTGCCGGGGAGCTGCTCCTGGAGGAGGTTGCGGTTTCGACTTTGCGGTTGCTTCCGACCTGAGTAGCCGCTACTGGGCAGCAGGTTTTGGCATCGCACCTCACATGACTCCACCTACATGAGTGCCTCTTGTGGGGTGCACAATAATTGCATTGAGACATGATGCTTCTCGCGTCATAAGAGAATACCTTTAGTGGAAGCAACGGTCCTACAGTAACATGTCGTATCAACCAGTGACCCTGTTTCGAAATCTTCTACAGGATTCCATCTTCCAAGGCTATGCCCATGCGCAGGCGCCCATCTTGCAATTTGTGGCTTCAATAGCGATATCGCAAGCAAGTCTGAAATTGAAGCTGCTCAGGTTGGCCCCAGTTCTCAGCTCGTCTGTCGGCTTGGGCGGCCCTCTGCATGAAGGCCGTGGAAGCGAAACGTTCTCTGTACGGTGCGCTCCAAATGCGCTTTGCCGATTTGTCTCTGCCGTTACTCTGCACCGTCTGCACCGATGCCGTGCCATGCAAGGTTCCTGGCACTTGATTACCTCAAAGGTTCTTTGGCTGTTTCGCCCAATACGACAGGCGACCGTGCACGCGGCAAAGCACTGCCAGGACAACATCCAATACAACGAACAAACAGTGATATCTCCGGGGGAGCTTATAGAGGCGCAAACGATGTCTAGAGTCTAGAAGCAGACCTAGGTGTTGGCACTGCACTTGTGCTGGCTTCTGGCAGAACTATTCTCGTGAGTATGTCTCAAGAAACAGAAGCTGTCCGAATGGGCTTGCGGGCTTCCTGCAGAAGAACTTTCCTACGGACTCACTCCTGTCCTGTCAGAACTCCAAAAAAGTTCAATAAGCTACAAGTAGCATCCCTGCACCTGAATTACAAGGTTCGGCGAGTGTGCATCAAAGCGACAGTGCTGAGACCTCCTCCTCAGTGAGGCCATCGAGAGGACCAGCTTCTTCAGCGGGAGCATCTTCTTCAGTATGATCTGTCTGATGCACATCGGCCCTGAGAACACGGCCATTTTTCAGCGCGGGCTTTGGTTGTATGCCGGCAAGCTGGGCTCTCAAGGTCTTCATGAGATACCAGCAAACTTGAAACTAACTCATGTCAAGAAAAGGAACTATGTGCTTCTTACAATCGGCCATTAAAACAACAACGTTGGCAAAGAAGTGCTTGGGTTTGTGTGCTGAATACACTCTGAGAGGACTCCTCGGTGCTTGTGAATTTCGCGTGTGCTGACAAGACAAGTCAACCGTTGCAAACAAAAATGTGAGGCTGCAGCTCGTCAGCCACGCCGTTCTCCTCCTTCCGCTCCTGGGCCCGAAAGCAATGTCATGACAATCACGAGCCAAAACCTCCACATCGCAGACTGTGTACCTTGCTTCTGATGTGCAGTATCCAAGCTTCCACAGGATCAGCAGGTCGGGCAACAGGTTTCGGAGTGGCCACTAGCCTGTAACCAGGGTACAGGTGCGGCGGGAGTTTGCGAGTTCAACGGGTCTGCAGTCGTTTTTGTGGTCTGCAAGCGAACTGAGCTTTGACACAGAACAAGGGTGGCCGCACAGTTTGAGCACCGTACAGTTTTGTGGGCGATCGCCTGCAGCACCAGCATCAGATGGGCGGGTGTGCCGGTGGAACACTACTTCAGCTAGATAGCTAGATTCTCGAGTTGCTTTGAGACACTACTGAGGCCACCACAAAGGTGCCGCAAGCGCCTTGCTAACAGGCATCCCAAGACAGGCTGACCATGGCTGACCCCCTCGGTCCGCACAAGACGAATCAAGTGACAAACTGGCCTGACGCTTGATCGGAGGCAAAACCAGCGTGCCTCATGAATCGGTCGATCGTTCGTGCAAGGTTCCAGGCCTAATCGGCATGCAACTGAGAGCAGAGGAGGTTCACACACAGTGACCCATTTCTCACGAGTCTCTAGTGGGAGATCCTGAGAAGAGAGACAACCGCCTGGTGTCCACAAGGTCTCCAGCAGTCGAACTCGCTGTTCGGTCGTTCTCTGTTTTCATCCGCACAAATTTCCCGCCGTATAATTTCCCGCCGTATAATGAAAGGCTTCCGGAATCAAGCAAATGAGGCCACGTGCTGGAGTCCCAAAGTCTCACGAGGGCTAAGGCCGATCACAGGATATACAGTGGCGAATTCCAAGATTGTCCGTTATTCTTCAAGGTGGGACAATTTTCTCGCACTTCCGATTTCACGTTCATTCGACAAGAAATCAGGCCGCAGTGCGACCGCCGGGATCTTTAAGAGAGCAAGGCCACCGTGGCGAGATCTCTTGTCGAGGCCTTTCGGCATGCACTCTTTCAGCCACGCTACCTTGCAAATCGTTATCTCCTGTGCCGTCAGGGAGAGGAGGTTTAAGAGATTGCCCAGGTATCATGTAAAGTATCTAAACTGATTGCAGCACGGACGAGCTGTCAATGCGACACATGCAAATGCCAAACCAGGCCAAACCGACACGTGTTCCTACAATGCTGTTTCTGGCCGCCTATGCAGCAAGCTGAAAGGAAGGGTTTTGATATTTGCGTGCAGTGTGTCAGATGATGACGCAGACACAGGACGCTGTTCCAAGTGCCCGCTGCTCTCTCAGGTTCAGCAATTCCTTGGTACCCCTGTTGGCGAATCCATTTATGCGAGGAGAAGGGCAGACGCAGGTGTTGCAGCTTGCACGCCCTCACGTACTGAATAGGGACCCAGGTTGCGCAGAGACAGATGTTCTTGGCTGGGGAATGCTGGCCTCCTGCCACTGCACAAGGTGCTTTCGCGTTTGGTTTCGCGCATGGCTGCGGCTTTTCAACATTTCAAAGATGGGCCGGGTGGAAAGAGATGAAAGAGGCTCGTGTGATGACTTCAGTGTTTCCCAGTCCCCGGTGAGCGCCTTTCCGCTTGCCCGGTGGAGGCGGTGCTGGCAGCTTGGCGATGAGCTCGCGTATCTCATCCCCGTAAATCAACAGTGCCTGGCGGAGAGCCGGAGGAGTGACGACTGCCCGAGAAGTTATACGACGCAACGTGGCGACGTGAACGAAAGCCAAGACGAACACCAAGGGGACAACCGAGACCAGTGACTTGACTCTGCTTGCTTGTCAGCTGCCCTGAAAATCCTTGAAATATCCTGGAAAGATCGGCCAAACAAGCGACAAGACGAGGACTCGCCTGATGGCAAGCACTTTCTTCGGCTTCCTTGGCCGTAGGGCACAGCTCACTCGCGGCTTCCTTGCCCTGGCGTTGGATAGGATCTTCGAGAAATGTATCTCACATTCACACTAAATCTCAACACTGGTAGAGTGCCTGCTATGCTTTAACTTCACGGCCAGTTCCCTTCTCCAACTGCCTTGTAAGTCGTGTGATGCCTTCTATCAGTCATGCCCCGCGCCAAAGTAAAGTCTTGCTACTGAAGCAAGTCGCTGTTGGTTAACGGTTAACGCATGCATGCTGCTTCGAGCTGTGGCAGGTCAACGAGCTGGCCAGCCACATGCGAAATCTTTCACGCTAGAAATGTCGCTTCATGTTCTCTGGAGAGGTAGAGACGGCAACACATTGTTCATGGCGCAACATTACTTGAAACGACCATCTTCTAATTCATGAACAGGTTGTGCATTCAGTGGTACCATGCTAGGCCATTCCAATCATCAAAGGCAGCTAAAAAACGATCAGGTGGAATTGCAGTCTTGCAAGATCTTGAAAAACAGGCGCCGCGAAGCCATCGCAACAGGAAGTGAGACATGTGAGACTGTTGGTAATTGACCCGTCCAAACCAGTACTGATCAGTGCCTCTGGATTTTGAGTGCGGTCGGAAAAATCGAGGGAGAGTGTTGAAGACAGAACCCATGAGGCCTGAGAGTCCAAGTGCTCCAAGCATTACATCAAGCCTCGAATGGCGAGGCCAACCGCCAACAAGGCAAGTCCTCCCCTCAAGAGTAAATCACTCACTTGTAGATACTTGCAGCCTCCATCTCAGGGCGAGGCTGTTAGGACAAGAACGTAACATACAAGAAGCCTCCAACTCCCAAACAGGGCCCCTTGTCAGTTGCACATCTCGTCCTCGGCGCACACCAGGGTCACCGTTGCTTGGATGCCGACTTGCCACGTCCTGTGTTACAGCACAGGATCAGGTTCACAACCGTCCAGCCACCACAGACCGACGGTCTAAGTGTAAGAGCTGCCAAGGGTCTGATGTGTGATGACCTTAGCCAGACAGGCTCCAGTAGTGTAACTTAGATGGTGGTCACACATCAGATCAGACTCGTGAGACACCAGTGGAAAGTTCGAGCAGCCTCTCAAGAGTCTCAGGTCTTGGCAATGTCATGCAAAGTAAGCGGTCGTCCGACCAGGCGTTGGAGGAGCTGGTACAGCTTGTACCTACCAAGGCTCTTTCAGTCACACCAAGCCCTGCAGCGCACAGAAACAGCATGTAACGTCACTTGCGACAAAGCTGGGACCTTGGGTTCGGCTCCTCCTCCATGATGCAGCTAAAAGGGACATGAAGGTGCTGGGATGTGAAATGTGAAGGTCTTAGCTTCAGAGGCTCAGCCTCACAGGCCGCTAAGAGTGCGAATCCTGGGAAGTTCACCAGCTCCCTACCATGTATGAGCCGCTGACTCAGGACGATGGAGTCCGTGGCTTGGATTGGACTGTTGGCCGAGACCGAGCTTGAATCCTTGCAAGGCTTGCTTGTTTTCGTGCATACATGCACTGAGCCAAAGTTCTGGCCATGATGCGACAATCAGCAAACCTGCCCTCACCGTCTAAGCCTTGCACAAGGCTTTCGAGACCAGACTAAGAATCTACCATGGGCAGCAGTCATGACTCGGCGAAGGCCACTCACTGGTGGCTGCATATTATTCTGAGTTTTTCAATCTGCGGTGAGCTGTGACACAGGAAAACTGTCAAGACTGCGCTGCTTCTCGCAGTGCAGAGTGCAAGAAAGCAAGGCGACGGTTCATCGTGAGCACGAGCAGGGCCGGACCACCCTCCTCAAGGTTCGTTGAAGGCGTATGTCATGCAGGAGATCTGATTGACGCAGATGCTCGCCTCCATCTCCTTGTCTGTCAAACGAATGTCCCATGGCGCTCGGGGTTTTGGTCGTAAATCCTCCAACGGTCCTGAACTCATTCTGCAGAACTGGATGTTTGTCATCACAGCTGAAAGGCACATGAATAGGATTCCAAAGGGCTGCTTGGAAGCTTTCCGAGCTGCTTGTGACATCCCTACGGACTCTCGAAAAGATTGTAGGCTACGTAAGAAGGGTCCCCGAAAGGAACTCTCTCGACATCCAGTGACTGACAGTCAACGTCTGTTCAGCTAACTTTCTGTTTGAGTGGCGAGTCTGCAAGGTCTCGGATTGGCGCTTCCATCGTAGCTCCTCCAATCAAGCGATAAGTCACGATTATGACGGCGGTGGATTTAAGTCTGGCTGCTGCTGTAAGCAGCCTATGCAGAACGGGGTGTTCTGCCGTCACTCCCTGATCTCCTGTTCAGAGCGCTGTGTCTCGGGCAGCCTGCTGAGAAACTCCTCAAGTGTCAAGCCAGTAGAATTCAGCAGCAGAATGCTTTGAAGGCAACACCAGCTGCACCTACAACTATAGTTTATTTCGCAGCTGACCAGCTCTCACTGCAGGGAACACGACAGAATACAAGGCAGAAGATGGCATCCACAGGGACCTCAAAGGAACAAACACACAAGGACGCAGCAACAGTCTACTAGTCTACGATCGATAGAACGGTAGCCGCAGCCCAGTAGGTCGAGCCATAACTATAGCCAGCAGGGTGCCCGCTTATTTCCCGGGCCAGTGGCACCCGCGGCCTGGATCACGCTCCTCAGCGCATTGTTGGGAATGAGATCGTCCTTTCGGGGAATACAGCGAGCAGCTCATTCACCGGCATGTTACATGCGATTCTGCTATATCTCTGCTTTGCGGAGCAGAGTTTCGCTTGCTAGTGGCAGGTTGGTCAGCGGGCTTGTCCGATGACCTGGCAAAGGACACGTGCACACTACGCCCGAAGGCGCAGCTCTTGAAACCTGTGTGCTTCTTGCGGCCGAGAAGACTTTGCAGCCAATGCTCAATGGCGCGCCGTTCGTAGCTGGTGCCATCCGACGCCACCACTGGGTCCTCCATTAGGTCCTGATTGAATCGGGTTGATGCTCCACACACTCCCATGTTGTCGCGTTTGAGCAAAAACCTCTGTTAACATCCTTCAATCCTTCTCCTGACTCAAAGTTCGCACCAGCTGTCCTGCGTGATCGGACAGCTGCAATCTGCAGGCAGTGGAACTGACTCCAATGTCGGCGGCGAGGCCATTTGTGAGTTCTTTTCACTTTAAGATTTCGAAAATGCTCCGCTCCATCGGCACATGCCTTGAAACTTTACTGCTCAAGTTGTGTTGGAGGCGGCTGGTAACAGTTGCTGTCTTCCGCTAGACGACATGACGTGGAAATCTCACCAGCCATGCGCAATCGCTGCAGCAATGCCGGGAATTGATCTGCATGCAGAGCTCCGTTTGGCTTGAACCTCTCATCCCGAGTCGGTCTCTCTAAGGTCGGGGTGGTCTTTCCACAGGAACCTTTGGGAATGCTCCTAGCTATCCAAAAAAATCTACTGCTGAACATCGAGGACACTGCAGGGCGTGCTCGCAACACATTCAACTTGCGCTCTTTTGGTTGAGGGCAAACTGACACAGACCGGGTTGGTGCATGTTTCGTGCAAACACTCGGCAGGAAGATCCAGGAATTCATTCTTTCGACAGTGCTCTCAGTGACTCTTCGGGACATGTCGCAAGCATAGCACCCCAGCACGTTTGGGAAGCAGAACCAAAGCCATACTCAAGCAGCCAAGAGCATCACGTGCCTCACCCCATGTGAAGTCAAGACCCTCCGGAAACGGTAGCCTCCACCTGTAGCTCAAGTCATGGAGCTCGAGGTAGACTATCTAACTGTTCCAAAAAAAGCTCTCGCCGATGACGACAGTCTAGCGAGGTTCCGAGATCTTTTGCTGCAAAACCGTCCTTCTCGGCCTGTTGACGACGGTGGTTGTCAGCTCCACTACAGCCAGAAGGAATGCCTGATGTCATCTGGTGTCGAGTGACAAGCTTTCCGCCCTTTGACCTGCCGAGAGTCTCGTATCGTGCAGAACCGTGCGGCCTGCGTGAAGCCTTCTACGGGCAAGCCTACGACCTGGAATCCTGCTGCATGTGTGAATGCACGCCGCTCAAACGCCGATGTCGACAGCTGGGGAGCTCCTGCCATCAATCGGACGGTCACGTTCAGCCTATGCTGATGATACTGTTGAAGCCCAAATCCTGCAGGACCGGCATGCCCAACAACATCGCACGTATGTTATGTCGCGCAATCCACAATGCTTGCGGATCACAAGTGAAGATGCCTTGAAACACAATGCAACACTCGACTGCAAACGATCTCAGCAAGACTGCTTTTCCTAGGAAGCGGCTGTTGTAACGCACTGAGGGGCGGGTCGCGGGTACAGAGTTCAACTCCTCGGAGGTTCTGAGATGGACATGAGTGCAGTCAGAGACGGCCCTTTCTTAAAATTGCAAGGCGAAACAATCTGCAACCTAGTCGCGGTTCAGTAACAACATGTAGCAACTACATCAAGGAGTCACATCGATGACTTCACTGTTCCAGAAGATTATCCTGGCAGGTCCTGGGTGCACCCACAGCGACGAGTGCGTGGACCACCTCTGAGCCGACCAAGAAAGCTGCTTCGCAGGCGGGCTCTAGGAAAAAGTCCTGAAGCGGCCAGCAGGGCCAGCAAGGGCAAAAGGGCCCCCAAAGACTCGTCCGAGACTTTCAGACCAAGAGTCCATGCTCGCTCCGGTGCTGTGCCCAGGCCAAGGCTGCACGAAGTTGCTCGCAGCACCTGGGCAGCGCCCCCTGTATGCCGATAGGAGTCCGGGTGGGGCTGGCGATGCCGTCGTTTCCAACAAGTGCGAGTCGGCGTGGCTTCAACGAGATTGCCAAAAACCTAGTTGGGCCAACACCCTCGAGGACGTCGGAGGCCTGATGCCGTGCCCAACTGCTAATGCCAACCTAAACAGCTGGGGTCGAACCGCCCGAATCAGACACATATCGTGATGTGGCAGGCTTCATGCCAATCCGATTGGGCCATTGTGTCTTGCATAGTGAATGTGTTCCACTCAGTCAGGCCACGAAGCACCAGCAGAGCTTCTGAACCTCGACTCCTCCCTGCCCGGTGCAAAGCATCGACGGCCTGTGCGATCTCAAAGCCAGTGCTTCAATATCGACGCAAGTTGCATGCGGAAGCTAAAGTGCACGTGTCTGCCTCAGCTGTCGCAAAGTCCTCCATCGCTGACATGGCAAAGACACCCTCAGGGCACAGTTAAAGGGCGACATCGTCTGTGCAAAAGGGAACTGCACGGCCTACGACCACAATGCAGGAGTCTGGTATGCTCATTGTTCGCTTTTTACGAACCCATCAAGCAGGCCGCAGTTTTTGAGTGCCAGATGGTGATTTCGACCGCACCCCGACCATTCTCCCCCGCTCCTCCCCTGCACCCGCCAGTCCTGCCCCGAAGCCTGCCGAGCATGGATGCACCTGTGAAGCAAATGCGACGTATGCATAATTATACGTACCGTACCGCCACTGCGTTGACACAAGAGTCTGGATATGGATTCGATTCGATCGTACAAGCAACAGTGTCAGGAGCATTTGCACCACCACTCCTTCCGGTCCCACACATCTCCTCCTGCTGGCAACCAGTAGCTTGTCCAGTTTCTGGCCCAGCCTTGGAAAGGGCTGGTAAGAATCAGGACCGATGCCATGCTGAACAAGTTCGGCAGGTCCAGGTGGCAATCGACTGTAATTAAGCAAAAGCGACTGGGTGATTTTTCAGGTCAGTTGCTTGCTTGCGTTGGGCCTGTCCAGAAGACATCCGTGGCCAGCAAATCCTCGAACAAAGAGCTGTGACTGACCGCACATGTACTCCACGTTCAACGGTTCCGAACATCGGTAGGTTTTGATGTTTTTTGCATGCCGCTGAATCTGATCATGTCTTGCCGGCCAGCAGCTCCCATCTGCACGGAGGGAGCCTCAAATGGAGACTCAGGCTACCTTCATAGATTCATAGTGGTTCACTTCAGTATGTACTTATAAAATCGCAGTACGAATTTGACGTGTCCTATTCCGCGACTATGTTTCTCACCGAAACTTGCCTCGCCCGCAAAGCTACTCAATCGTCACCATGATGTCATGCTGGTACAGCGGCTGACACCGACAGCTGCGAAGGCTTCTGCGCTTCATGCTGTGTTCGACATGTTGCAAGCCCCCGCGTGAGATATGGAGATGTTAGCAGACAAGCAAATGATGCATCGTGTTCTATACCGTGGCACGGGATGATACTGGCATGAAGCATCTCACATGAGGACCACTTGCAGACTGAGTCAGCGAAAGCGCAAGAACTCCTCAGTCCTCAGCTTGACCCGATCCCAAGCTGGATATGCATCCGAAGACATAGGCCCGCCCTTGCATGGAAGGAGCCCGTGCAGCTTCTGCGCAGCATGGGGCGTAGTGTCGGCGCACACGCTGGAATTCCTGCAGCAGTGCAGAGCCGGACACATCTTCGCAAGAGCCTACAACCAGAACGCAGGAGCGCCTCCCTGGAGTCAACATCCAAGATAATTTGTCAACCGACAACACAAAATGTGCACAGCTGGCTCTTTGTCCAGCTCTGGCATGTGGCCTCCAGATCTGGCAGCTTCAGAGACTGCGTAAGGTTATGCGCCCACCTTAGGTCCAGTCCAGTTGATGCTATGCTTCGGCAAGCATCGCGGTCACCCACTACAATTCGGCTGCATTCTGCTTCCGCGAACACTCGGACCTGCTGAAGACGATGGAGCCACTGAAGCGCTTCCAACTCAAGGTTCGCAACATTCGCAACACAAAGCTCATCTTTTGCATTGCACTCGCTTGCGTTCGGGCATTCATCCGTCCTGCTACTCGCTCACAGCATGCGAAAACACGTTACCAGACACTCCTGGTCCTGGCACTGACGAGACGAGCTCTACTTGAGAAGAGGGCTACACAAGCTAGGCCCCACGACTGCAACAACGCTGGCAGAGACTGTTTTTGTGCGGAGGCCGCACGAGGCTGCAAGCAAGCACGTATGTAGCGCCATGAAGCTTCAGCTTGCAAGATGATAGCATTAACATTATTCTCCTTGACACTGGCCCCATAAGGATAAGGATACACTTTTGTCGTATCGTAGTGCCTTGACCGACCTCATTGCGCGTCTGAGTGTCCCTGCGTCAGCAATAACTCGGCCATCTACGAGCAGTTCGATCTGTCCTGGTGGCAGCTTTGCTAATAATCACGGAGGGGTCAGACATGAGCCTGCTACCTAGACGCACTCGGCCACGCAAGCACGAAGCGCAAGTTGCCATGTTGCTTCAGCACATGAGCCATGATGGACCTTGAGGTGGTTTTGGGCGACCAAAGGGGTGGGGCGGGGTGGGGGGGCCAATGGACCAGATAAGGTCCTGCACGCAATTTAGACCTAGTTCTCTATTACCTAAGTGAATGGTACAGTAAACGGCAACTCGCGCAAGCTCCACAGAGCCAGCTTTCCTGACATGTTGCCGCCATTATTACTTAACGTTAATGCTCGATTCTGCGATGGAGTCGATAAGCTTTCGGGAAGCTCGGCTCGCCCTGACTGGCAAGGTTGCTTTTAAGAAGATGACCTGGTCCTGTCGATTAGCACCACATGCCACAGCCGTCTGCTAAGAGCGGTTGGCTCGTGACTCCGCAGCCCTTGTCTAGGTACATGCGAGAGACATCGTAAACTCACGGACCAGAAACCGCACGGCACAAGCTATGTTGGACTGGGCACGGCAAGGAATCCTATGTCAGCGCTCATCCGCACAAGCCACTTTCTCGGAAGGGATGCAGCACAATTTGGCAAATTTTCATGAGGAATCTCTCAAATTTTGATGCTTCACCGACCATCCCGACTGCAGTCTCATGCGTTTTGAATCGTTGTTAAAAAACGCTCGGGCTCGGCTGCAATCACACTTGCCGTTAACACCAGGCCGCTGCACCAGGCTCGGAGCCATCAGCTTCACGGAACCAGCACGTGCTCCAGGCGATTGGGGAGGCAAGCCGTAAGGTCGATCTCGATTCGTGGGAATCCAACCTGTGTCCCAGTCCTCCGGGCAAAGCTGAGCTAGATAGAGCTTTGCAATTCTGCACCCCTGCAGTCTTGCGGGAACCTGCTCGTCATTGATCGATTGTGTTGCGATTCTAATTCTGGTGCTGCCCGTGCATCT